AATCTTAAAAAAAGAAAAAAAAGAAAAAAAAAGAACCCAGAGGAGAAAGAAAGGCATCATCAAGAAATTGAGTTATTTGCCTCTAATGGTATAGCGTCTCTGCCTCCCAGTTTTCTGACCATGCTAACTACCCTATGACTCAGAAAGACATTATAAGACTTAACAGATACAGTAAGTTCTTATAAAATACTAACTACTAGATGAGTTTCTTCCCCCAAAAGTACTTTTTTTTTCCTTTCTGGGTACTTTCTATACTCATAATCTGTACCATTTTAGCCAGCATTTATTCACTTTTAAATGGTTTAACAATTTTATAAGTTGTAATCATTTTACTAACTTGAATCTTGCCCGAGGCAACAAGATTGTCTCCATTTCAGGGGAGGGGAGCTTACGTACAGCTCTTTGGATCTCAAGCAGCATGTTACATAGATGCATAGCAGACAATAACAATCTCCTACTGTTTGGATAGTTAGTACTATAACCGTGAGTCTGATTCCTCCTTTGACCTTAATTAATACCAAGTTCTTTAGGTTTCTGGTTACATGTTGAGACCAAGCAGTGTCCCACTGGCGTCTGTCCAATCCGTTGAGCATATGAAAAGAACATAGCGAGAGAGTGGCCAAGAATTGAAGAGAATGCAAACGAAGCTGAAAGATTGAGTGGGGCGATTAGGAAATCACTGGTGACCAGAGAGGCACTGCAGTCACGTGCTAGGGGCTGCCACTAGTTCTTGCAAAGAGCAGAAGAGTGAAATGGGAAGAAAGAAATGAAGGTGTGCTTTGAAGGCTGACATGTTTAAGGGAGAAGTCTCTATTCCTTATTTAGGATAAAGATAACCTAAGCATTAGTGTAGACTGAGGACATTTAAAAGCCAAAGTAGAAGATTGGAGAGAAGTAATTAATGGACAATGGACAAGAGAGAAGATCACAGTGGGGAGGTAGCACTCAGCAAACAATAACCGCATTTGAATCCTGGCTCTTACTTTTACAAGCTGTGTAACTTCACTCTTTAATCCTCATTTTGTTCATGTGTCAAACTAGGAGAACATGATTGCTCTAAGACCTAAATAAGGTGATATATAGAAGTCGTTAGCATGGTGTAAGCTTTCATAAAATAGCCGCTATGATTAAGTCAGGAGCACAGATGGAAAGGAGAAAGGCCACCAATGCCTCTGAAATAGAAAAAAGGGTAAGGGAAGATCTACGTGAAGTCGAGGTGAAATTCCACCATTTCTGAGTCTAGTCCAGAGGTTCTCAACACTGGCAAAATATTAGAGTCAACAGGGGCGCTTTCAGAAATACCAGTGCTTTTCTCCTACCCCAGACCAATTAAATCAGCAATTCTGAAGGTGGGCATGCATACTGGTATTTTTTTTTTTTTAAGTTCTCCAGGTAAACACACTGCACAAAGTTGATGCATTTCTGGAGCTTGACTATACATTTCTGAAGTAAATACTTCAAAACTTTTAGAGAATGATGATGGCAACTATGGATGAATATCAAAAATGTTATATTGAGCAAAAGAAGCCAGAAATGAAGAGACTCACTCTATAATGCCATCATGATTCCACTGAGATCAAGCAAAAAAAAAAAAAAAAAAAATCCACAAGGATAAAAGTTAGAATGATAGCTGCTTTGCAGAGGGAGGAGGGTTGGTCAGAATGGACAAGTGAAAACTTTCTAGGTTGATGGACATATCCTGCATCTTGACTCGGATATTGGTTACTGAGCTCAGTACATTTGCGCAAAGTCATTGAACTGTACACATAAAAATCTGTGCATTTTGCTGTATGTATTTGTACCTATATATCTGATTCCATGCACAATGGGGAACCATTAAAAGTGGTGGAGTAAGGGGTTGCCTGGGTGGCTCAGTCAGTTAAGCATCGGACCTCGGCTCAGGTCATGATCTCACAGTCTGTGAGTTCCAGCCCCAAGTCGGGAGGCTTTGTGTTGACAGCTCAGAGCCTGGAGCCTGCTTTGGATTCTGTCTCTGTTTCTGTCTCTGTCTCTCTCTCTCTGCCTCTCTCCCCACTCACACTCTGTGTCTCTCTCAAAAATAAATAAACATAAAATGTTTTCTTTAAAAAAGTGGTTGAGTAGGGAGTGTAATAAAGTTATTTCAAATGTGTTTAGCACCTAATTATACCCTAGTTTTTCTGTTGAGCAGGTATTTAGTTCAAATATGTTCAAAAACATGTCTATTTATTTTATTTTTAAGAGAGAGAGAGAGAACATGAGCAGGGGAGGGGCATAGAGAGAGAAGGAGAGAGAATCCCAAGCAGGCTCTGCACTGATGTGGGGCTTGAACTCATGAACTGTGAGATCATGACCTGAGCTGAAATCAAGAGTCAGACACTTAACCGACTGAGCCACCCAAGTGCCCCTAGTTCAGTTACCTTATCAGTAAGTTTCTATTATATAAAAGGGATCTCCCAGGAAACTATTTGGAGAAAGGAACCAGCATGCTGTTGTTACTTTACAGATTTAATCTTTCACATGGCTTATATTATTTATACATCGTTATATTTCAGCATATATTATATTTTGGTTATTTGTTCAGATTTTCACCTTCTGGTGTTTACTTTTGTGGTTCAGGTTTTATTTCCTTGTTTTCTTCTTCGGACCTTTGAAGGGACAGAAAGAACATTGGGCCAGAATCACATGGTGTATTAAGCTATCTTCTTGTTTTACGAAAGACAAACAGATTCAGGAACCACTTCCAAATCTCTCACCAGGATAAGGAAGCTTAACTTTACAGCATATCACACAAACATGATCTTTCTCTTTACGTCGAAGACGGAATGCCTCCCACCCACTTGTGCACACACAGACACTCACCGTGTAGAACTACCTTCATGCTCTCTCCTCTGCTGGGGCACCCATAACGCAATGGGTGGCTTTTGCGAGCCCCAGTGACGCTACTAGCAGCCAGCACAGGATGGGGAGTTTGAAGCCAATAGAAAAATTGTCCCAGCCCTGCTCTTATGTTCCGTATCCCCACATTTTTCCACTCACCATGGGAACGGAACATTAATCACACTTAACACTCTAAAGGAAGTTCAGAGATTCAAATTCTTCAGGGCTGAAGTAATGGTCGGTTGCAAGTTCTATAGCAGCCGATGGTGATTGCGTTAACTTCACCTGACACTAACAAAATAATTTGTTACCAAGGATTCCATTCCCTTCCTAGTCCTGTTTGGATTCCTCCTGTTTCACTAGACTCTTTAGAGAACCTTGGGCCATTATGAGCTGTTGAAATTCTTTTCCCTCCTCTGCTAGTGTCTTATGTCACTTTTCCCTCTCTTTGACCACATTGGGCAACATCATCTTATTGTCTCTGTCATGCTTCTGCATTTGAATTAAAATGCTCCAGAAACACATATAAAGGGCTTATGTAATTTTTTTATGATAGCACTTTCAATTTCTTCCATTTGACCTTTTGATATTGCTTTCATGATTAATCTTTTTCTAGGGCCTTGTTGACACAACAGACCACTGTACTAACCTCTTAACCTTCGAAAAATCAGAGTTGAAATCTGGTTTGAGTAAGGAACCCAAAATAGTTTCCAACTAGCCTGGGCCTTATGAACAGTAAGCCAGACACGTTCATCTCCGTGATGAACGGGCTGTACATGTGAAGAGCTGGTGAATAAGAGGAAATTGAAATGGGGGTGCCTGGGTGGCTTAGTCAGTTAAGCGTCCGACTTTCGCTTAGGTCATGATCTCACGGTTCATGGGTTCGAGCCCCGCATCGGGCTCTGTGCTGACTGCAAGCTCAGAGCCTGGAGCCTGTTTCAGAGTCTGTGACTCCCTCTCTCTCTCTGACCCTCCCCTGCTCACACTGTCTCTTTCCCTCTCCTAGAAATAAATAAAAAAATTAAAAAAAAAAAAAAGAGGAGATTGAAATGGAATGGGATGTAAAGATAGCATCGTGTTTAATCATCTTAGTGCTCACATTTAGAAAAACACAGGTGAGTTAGCTAAAGAAGCGGTTTCTTCTTTTCTCCAACTTTCCGTAGACGGTCCTCGAGACTCAGCCCCTCCTGCTATGTGCACTGATGTGCGATTGCCAGATGAAGTCATTAAGCTATTTCTTGCTCCTCCCTTCCTAATTATAGCAGATTGATAGTTCGTTAAATCACAAAACTAATTCTAATCCCTTGTAACTGTAAATCCTGCTTTAATCCCGATTGTGAGTTTAACCATATCCAGACTCTTGTGAAATCCTCAACACTGTCCAGTGATAACTGAGGAAACACACATGCTCCATTTGGCTGGTCTACACGTTGACAACAGATGGCTCCCACCTCTCTACCCCATCCTCAAAACTGGTCTGCGCCTGGCCTTTGCCATCCCCCCTAACCCGCCTGGCCATGCCAAACGCCGATTACTGGTCCTGTGGTTTTACATGTCCTTTGAGTCTCCAGAGCTGACCTTTCTGTTTTATTTTATTTTTAACTAGGGGCAATTGGATCGCCAAAATCTCCAAGGGATACTCTTTTAAAAAATACATCCAGCGCTCTCTCCAGCAGCACGTATGCTGGGTGGATACATCCATATTTGGTAATTTTATTGTATATTTATTTGAAAAGGAAGTATTGGCATTCCCTCATAACGGCTTTCAAACATGCTATGCTTTAGTCTCTGTGTTCGTGCTACAGTGATGCCTGTATGGGCAGAGCAGGAGTGGGAGCCTGTGAAGATGGAGGCCAGTGCTAGAAGCTTCTCCTCTCCTGAGAAGCAACTCTGCAGAGCAGTTATGACCAAAGAGCAGCTTAGGGGAAGCCTTCTTATCATGCGTGCACCCGTCCGTGGCTAGGCTGAGCCCTTGACATTGTCCTTTCCTGACATTGTCACCCAGAGTGGACATTGACAGCAGTCTCTTTTTTGTACAACACATCTGTGCACATAGGAGGCCTTAAACAGGGTCAGCTATATAATTTGCAGGGTCCGTGACAGAATGAAAGTGTGGGGCTTCTTTTTTAAAAAGTAATAGAATGCTTGCTTTGGCAGCTTGGATATTAAAATTGGAGCCACACAGAGATTAGCATGGCCCCTGTACAAGGATGACATGCAAATTTGTGAAGCGCTCCATAAAAAAAGAAAGAAATTGGAGGAGAAAAACTGCCTTGAAAGGCATTAAAACAGAGGCGCTTGAGTGGCTTAACCGGTGAGCGAATGACTTAATTTCAGCTCCAGTCTTGATTCCAGGGTCGTGGGGTCAGGCTCCACCCTGAGCCTGGAGCCTGTTTGAGATTCTCTCTCTTTCGGCCCCTCCCCTCCCTGTTTACACTCATTTCTCTGTCTCTTAAAAAAAAAAAAAAAAAAAAAAAAAAAGCTGGGGCGCCTGGGTGGCTTAGTCGGTTAAGCGTCAGACTTTCGCTTAGGTCATGGTCTCGCGGTTCGTGGGTTCGAGCCCCGCGTCGGGCTCTGTGCTGACTGCCAGCTCAGAGCCTGGAGCCTGTTTCAGTCTGTGACTCCCTCTCTCTCTGACCCTCCCCTGCTCACACTGTCTCTCTCTCTGTCTCCTAGAAATAAATAAAACATCTATTAAAAAAAGGTATTAAAATATAAGGCTTTTCCCCTTTCTTCTGAGGTCTCCTTTTGCTTTATCATGGTATTTGGGTTTTTTCTTTTTTGTCTTTGTTTTGTTTTGTTTGTTTGTTGCTGTTTAATGTCATTCTAAATCAGAAAAATCGACATTTTAATTTTTTAAAATTTTTTTAATGTTTTTATTTATTTCTAGGAGAGAGAGAGAGACAGCGTGAGCAGGGGAGGGTCAGAGAGAGAGGGAGTCACAGACTGAAACAGGCTCCAGGCTCTGAGCTGGCAGTCAGCACAGAGCCCGACGCGGGGCTCGAACCCACGAACCCCAAGATCATGACCTAAGCAAAAGTCGGACGCTTAACCGACTAAGCCACCCAGGTGCCCTTAATTTTTTTAATTTTTAATGTTTATTTATTTTTGAAAGAGAGAGAGAGAGACAGAGTGTGAGGGGTGAGGGGCAAAGACAGAGGGAGACACAGAATCTGAAGCAGGTTCCAGGCTCCCCACTGTCAGCACTGAGCCCAACGCAGGGCTTGAACTCACGAGCTGTGTGATCATGACCTGAGCTGAAGTCGGACACTCAACTGACTGAAACACCCCAGAAAAATCACATTTTAAATGATTAGCATCAAATTGACCATTAGTCTTTACACAGTGCAATACCAGTTTTCAATGCAAATATAAGAACATTCATCTCTTAGGTGGCATCCCCAAAATTACATAAGCCAGATTTCAAAGCTTACACCTGTATGTCTCTTGTGGTTTTATTGCAACAGCAGAAACACTGCACAAAAGTAACTCAGCTTTTCATAGCATACATTCTACCAACTCTATTTTATTACTCTTCCTGAAGAGTAAGGAAAGACAATGCAAAATAAACCATTGCCCTATCTTTTCCTTTCTTTCTAGCTCACCATTTCAGTAACATTGGTTGATTCAAGAAGTAGCACAGATGAAAAATGGGTTCCTTAAGAGGGTTCCTGGCTCATTAGTGTTCATTGGAGTGTCATTGTCTTCCTCTAGCTTTGAAGCAAGTTCTGTTTTAAACAAGAAGCATAGCCTAGCGCAGTTATCAATGATCTTTCTTACCCAGTTGTAGACCCAACTTACTTGCCCAGTGCTTGTACTGAGTCACTGAACTGCCACGCCTTATGAGTCCACCAGAATTCTTTGCTCACTGAATGTCATCCATACTATTTGTAACTACCTACAAACAATAGCGGTGCACATGCATATAGCTATTCACACATGTGCTCCAATCCCATCATATTTCACTTGCAAAACACAAGTTCAAAGATACCATTATTAAAAATTTCAAGACAGCAACACAGCATTGGGCCAAACAAGGGACCCTTTTGATCATGGGCCCTGGGCTACTGCACAGGCTGCACATTCATGAAGTCAGCCCTGGCCTTGAATTAGGAACCTGCTTGTTTGATTGACTCAGGTTCAACCGTGGAAAAGTTACCAAAGTCAAGAATATTTTCAGAAGTGCCCATTAGGAAGAAACACTTACGTTACTACTTCTTATGTTTATAGACCACCAAATATCAAAATATGGTTTTCACTGATTGAGTTCATTGGGTTGGCTTCCACCACCTCTGGTTCCCTGTCCAGATAATTCCACAGAATTATTTTATAAACTGTGAATTAAAAGGATTACTTGTGGCTTCATCTCTGAATGGCTGCAGACACATAAGTTCCTCAACCTCTTGAGCCTCAAGTTTACAGGGCCACCCCTTTTATTCATTTCTGGGTTGTGCAAGCTCAGAGCCTTGAGTGGTGATGTCTTTTAGACATGGTGTGTGTGATTTATTAAAGGCTTTGGTTCTGGGTGGACTTTGCCTGCAGCGGCTGACCCTCCATCCACAGGGGGTGACAGGTAGATAATAATGCCTCGAGAGACAAAAGAGGAACTGTGAAAAAAAAAAGACCTTTGCCCCAAGGAGTTATATAATCACTCCAAAGCATTGTACACACACACACACACACACACACACACACGGAGGTGGAGCAGCAAGGAAGCAGTGCCAGGGATTTCTTTCTCAAAGACTGACACAGGAAGTTCTCTCTTCATAACTGACATTTTTAAAGGTGGCTCTATACACAATTCAAACTTTTGTCTTATGAAATTACTGAGGACAGGGAGAATTCTAGGAGTCGGCAAATACTCTGTTTTCCTGACACATCAGGACAGCTGCCGACCACTGCTTCCATCTCTGACTTCTTTCTCAAAGTGAACCCGTGGCCTGTCAAGAGAAATGAACACGGGGACGCGTGCACATGTTTTTCTAGTGAGTTACATCCCGCCTGCATCCCCACATTTTTCTCCTTGTGTAGTGTGGAAGGCTCCAGAAACAAACCCTCACTGCTGTGCCATTTTCATGGGAATGAGGAATGAAAGCCGGTCCACTGCGTTCAGGGGTGTGGTGTGCTGGGCTCCATCGAGGAGCCAGGGCCATCCTTCCCCTTCCTGTCCTTGTGCGCGACCTCAGCCCGCCTTGTCTGCAGGGATAAACAAAGACCAGTTTGGACCTGCCTCTGCTCTTGCTCTCAGTCTCTCTCTGTGACCTTATCCTTTGGCCACAGCAGTGTGCCAGAGGCTCTGTGCCTGAAGCCAAGTGACTGGGGTGGCAGGGCTGAGTCTAGAAACCCATAGAAAGGCAATATGTCCTCAGTACCTCTCAAACCCTCCTCGAGGAGCCTCTTCAGGTACCAGAATTCAGCACGTCTTGCGTTCCTGCCAATCAACCCAAACAGGCACTGATATTAACTGAGAGCCTTCTAAAGAATATGCTGGTGATGGGCAGGGCAGCCACTGTATTTGAAAGAATAAAAAGCACAGTTCAGCGTTTGGCTTTGCATATCTCTAACCAGATGACCTTAGACCAGCTATGTAATTCTGGAGGCTTTTGTTGTCTCAGTAGTAAATTAAAGATGAAAATACCTCTTGCCTATCTCACGGTTTAGAGATAGAACAAGGTTTAAAACTGCACATATAATAACACGCCATAAGAAAACCGTTAGAGTCAATTGCAATGTCAGGCATTACTATCTGGTGCCTAATACCATTCCAGGCAGCATGGAGTAAAAAGTAACTTAAGATTTCATGCCTGTCTGAAATAAACTCACAATCTTGTTGGGAAGAAAGCCTCTGTATGTGGTACAGATATGCTCTTTTAGATCTCCACATTATATAATGTTAATAACAACACTTCTGTCTACGAAGTTGGTCTATGATTATTTCCATTTTATATATGAAATAATGAGATGCAGCGATCCTGCATAAAGTTTGAAGGTCACATGCCCAGCTGCAGGAAAACGGCAAACTCAAATATGAAACCCACGAAGTCTAACTCCAGACTCCAAATTTCACCTTGACACAATCCCATATCTTTTCATTGGTATTATATACTTAGTACAGGCAATAATTAAGTGGACTTAGTTATGGAAGAGATCAATATGGTAATCCTCTCAAAGACCCTATGTATCTCTCCCTCAGAGCCCTGCTTCTAGCCTTATGGTAAGCCACAATAATAGCCTAACCATGAAAACCAAGCTTTCTTAATGTGCTCCCTCTCTGAAAGTTCTCGAAATCTGTCATCTTATTTAAAATGTGGAGCTTTTGATGAAGACCTTTTTGGGACACTTAGACTCAAGGTTCTGATGCTGAGGGAGGTATCTTTACATAGGCTCCATAGCTCTGCTCACATGTGGGACCGAATCTGCTGATGAACACCGTATTTATGAGTATATTTGGTTAAGATGCTTCATCGTACCTTCTTGCTTAAAAGTACTGAACTGTTATATGAGTTCCTTTGAAATAATGCATAAGGAAATAGAATTTAATAGCATTTCTGGCTCTTGAGTCAAAAAAAGCACATGTTGGAGTACAAAGAGCAATTCAAACACACCAAAGTGGCACAATTTTTTAAAAAAAGATGAGGTCTTGGTGAGAAGGCTGTTCTGGAGCAGAATATGACAAACTTAAGAGCCACTCCATGTTCCTTCTTCAAATATCTGAGAGAATTCACTGGTTCCTGAAACTTCACATTTGTCTTTTGATTCCTCCTTCCAAAAAATAGTAAAATCTTGACATGACTGTTCCTAATTTGGAGTCTATGAATGACTATCTTGTGTTCATATCAGCTCTGTGTTCCCACACTGCCACATGAAACATGGGGGCCACATTCTAAGGGCTTTGGATAGCAATGCTAAAACTCCACTGATCTCTTGATATCAGGAAATGGGGTATTTTTCCCTGAATGGACTTTTTTTCATGAGTTTGCTTCATGTGTTTCCATTTAACGTGAAGTGTTGAAGAGTGGTCTATTCCATCAGGCTCTCAGCACACTTTATTGAACACCTATCTGGTGCAGCTGAACTTGGTGCTCAAGTGACCACTTAATGATGGCCGTTCACTGTTAGAGATGTTAGGAATCCCTTAGAGATCTATGCTTTTGGCAGAATGCTCCCCCAGAACCAGGCATCACAGTGGGATGACGCAAAATCAGGCGATTTCAGAGCACTTTCTTAGGTGAGTTTCTAAGAGAT